GGAGTCACGGAGCGGGCGCGGCGCGGGCGGCGCCGGGAAAACCCGGAGAGCGGAGTCGCGGACGGGACGGAGCGGGCTGGCCCGGGTGGGAATGGCGCAGCGGGGACAGGCCAGTGCGACACCCGGTGTGGCACCCCTGGAGTCGGGTCAGGCCCTGCAGGTTGTGCTTGTGTCCCTGTTAGCGGCCAGGAGGAGCCCCAGAAGAATAAAGGTTGAAAGGGACCTCTGGAGTCCAACCACCCTGCCAAGGCAGGGTCACCACGAGCAGGTGACAGGAACACGTCCAGGTGGGGTTTGGGTGGCTGCAGAGACACTCCACGCCCTCCCTGGACAGCTGTTCCAGTGCTCAGCCACCCTCAGGGTAAAGAAGTTCTTCCTCATGTTTAGATGAACTTTTCATGTTTTAGTTTATGGCCATGGCTCCTCATCTTGCTGCTGGGCACCACAGCACCTAACTTGGAGATATTTATATGGATTCATGAGATCCCCTCTCTCTTCTCTAGAGTAAACGAGCCTCACTCTCCTCATTAGACAGAAGTTCCAGACCTCAAATCACCTTTGTGGCCCTTCACTGAACCCTCTCCAGTAGCTCCATTTCCTCCTCATACTGAGGAGCCCACAACTGGGCACAGCACCCCAGATGTGGTCTCATGAGTAGCAGGGGAGGATTGTGTCCCTGGACATGTGGGAGCAATGCTAAAGGTGCAGCTCAGAGAGCTGAGAGGGGAAAATGCTTTAGCAAAACACCCTGCATTCCATGAGTGGAAATATGGAAACAGCACTACAGGCCAGCCCTAGGCAGTGCAAAGTCACTGTTCAAGCATCACCATGGCAGGCCATCACTCAAGATGGACCAGCACCAAAAAAAAAAAGGAAAAAAAATCTTATAAATTCAACTAATGCTTTATTATTATTATTTATTTATTCTTGGGTAAAGCTTTCTTTGGGAGAATGTTCAGCTGCCTTATGGCTTTCCAGCACTTAAGGAAAAGGTAAAATTATCCTGTATTTGCTATGGGAAATTTACCAGTTCCATGCTGCTGTGGGACTGGTGAGCAGTCCCAGCAGATGGTGCTGTGATCCTTCTGCTCAGATTATTCCTCCTTTCTGAGCATCAAACCTCCTCTGGCCAGGGTGTGAACCCTGCCCAGGCACACTCATCTCCAGGGAAGCTGGAGCTGTGGTACACCCAGAGCTGTGGTACACTGGGCTGAGTGCCACTGTGTGTAGGTCTTCCCTGTCCTTGGTGGCCCCAGCCATCCCAATCTCTCCGTGGAGGTGTTTGCAGTACCTTCCTTCACACTGCTGGGAAAAGATAGGTCTGCAACCAAGTTTATTGCTTAACACAAAGGTACATCCCTGGTTGAAGGATGTAAAACCTATGACCAAGCTCTTGCCTCCATCTGCAACCATTCACGAGGTTGTCAGGATAAGGGTCTGCATTTTTGGAAAGCATCATAGGAAGGATGGTTCAGCCTGGCAAGCTTGAGACTTCACAGCACTGCAGAAATTCACTGATTGTACATCCCCTGCCCAGATCAGATCCGATGCACTGCCTACAGATGGATGAATTTAAAACTCTTCTCCCTTTCTCCAGCAGCAAGGTCAGCTACCTAGAAATGACATCAGCAC